TCCCCCCTCCCCCCCCCCCCCCCCCCCCTCCCCCCCCGAGAGAGACCAGGGAGAGCACCAGAGAGAGGACCAAGGAGAGGACAGGGAGAAACCAGAGAAATGAAAACCAGAGACGAGACCAGACAGAGAGACCAGACAGTGCCTGAGAGACCAAGAGAGGACCAGATGAGAGTCCAGGGAGGCGCTAGAGAGTGACCAGAGAGAGGACCAGGGAGAGACAGAGCGATACAGATAGATACAGAGAGAGACCAGAGAGGAGACAGAGAGAGACCAGAGAGAGCCAGGAGAGATACCAGAGAGAGTTCAGGGAGAACCAGAGAGAGACCAGGGACGAGAGACAGAGAGATAACCAGAGAGAGAGACAGAGAGAGAGAGGCCAGAGAGAGACAGAGAGATACCAGAAGAGAGACCAGGGATGTAGGAGGCAGGCGAGAGACCAGGGAGAGACCAGCAGTATAGACAAGAGAGAGACCAGAGAGAGACAGAGAAGGGACCAGATAGAGACCAGGAGAGGAGACAGAGAGACCAGGGAGAGACACCAAGGAGACGATAACCAGAGAGAGACTCAGAGAGTGGCCAGAGATGATACCAGCGAGAGATCAGGGAAGAGACCAGAGAGCAGACCAGGAGAGACCAGTGAGATACCAGAGAGAGACCAGAGAGAGGCCAGAGAGAGACCAGAGAGTACAGAGACGAGACCAGAGAGGAGGACCAGAGAGAGCCAGGGAGAGAACAAGAGAGAGACCAGAGATGGACCAGAGAGAGGGCCGAGCAGAGACCAGAGAGGATACCAGAGAGAGGACAGGAGAGACCAGAGGAGACCAGGAGAGACCAGAGAGAGCAAAACAGAGACGAGACCAGAGCGAGACAGGAGGACCAGAGAGAGACCAGAGATAATGAGACCATTTCTCGCACCAGAGGAGACAGAGAGGACCAGGAGAGAGACATGAGAGAGACCAGACGAGAGACAGAGATGGACCAGAGGAGAGACCCAGAGAGAGACCAGAGAGACCAGAGAGGAGACAGAGACACCAGAATGTAGTGAGAGACCAAAGAGAGACCGGAGAGAGACAAGCTGGAGGACAGCCCGTTGTGGGTACTAAGACCTGTCCCAGTGGATACCTGGACTACCTCACAGACAGACCCCGTTTGTGAGGAACCAGGGACTTTGTGTTGAGGTCCTGACCTGCAGTTCGGGGCCCCCCAGGGGACTTCAGACACAATCACGGTCGGTTGTGTACCACCAGATGTTCTCCAACGACTATGCCATCATCGGATATCAGCTCCGGAGGGACGATGACACAGAGTACAGCGGAGTTATACAGGACTTTGTGGACGAGAAAGACCAAGGAGATGAACCACCTCCTCATCAACAGAAGACAAGGAGGTGAACCCACTCCTCATCAACAGAAGACCAAGGAGATGAACCACTCCTCATAAACAGAAGACCAAAGGAGATGAACACTCCTCATCAACAGAAGACCAAGGAGAAGAAACCACCTCCTCATCAAGCGAAGACCAAGGAGATGAACCACCTCCTCATCAACAGAAGGACCAAGGAGATGAACCACTCCACACAACAGAAAAGACCAAGGAGATGAACCACCTTCTCTATCAAAAGAAGACCGAAGGAGATGAACCACCTCCTCAACAACAGAAGACCAGGAGATGAACCACCTCCTCATCAACAGAAGACCAAGGAGAAGAACACTCTCTCATCAACAGAATGACCAAGGAAGATGAACCACCTCCTCATCAACAGAAGACAAGGAGATTGAACCACTCTTCCTCCTCATCAACAGAAGACCAAGGAGGATGAGACCACCTTCTCATCAACAGGAAGGCCAAGGAGAAGAACCACCTCTCATCAACGTGGAAGACCAGGAGCTGAACCACCGCCTCATCAACGCGGGGGAAGGATAAGGGATGAACCACCTCTCATCAACGCGGGGAAGACTAAGGAGCTGGAACCACCTCCTCATCAACATGAGGCAGACCAAGGAGATGGTTGTGGTTTTCCGCGACGTCACTCTGCCGCTCCAGCTCCAGTGAACATCCAGGGAAAGGAATCTGATGAGAGGGGACTACTTACAAGTGACTGGGTGTTCATCTGAACCACAAACTGGACTGGAGTCATAACACAGACGCCCTCTTCAAGAAGGGGCCAGAGCCGCCTTACATGCTGAGGAGGGCTCAGGGTCTTTTGGCGAGTGCAGGCGGCCACTCATGAAAGACCTCTATGACTCTGTGGTGGAAGCTTTGTACGGTGTTGGTTGCTGGTAACAGCAGCATACAGAGTAGGGACAGGAAAGAGTCTTGACAAGGGTTATCCAGGAAGTCCCAGCTCAGTCCTGGGCCGTTCCTGGACACAGCTGCAGCAGGTGGGGGACAGGAGGGTCCTGAGCAAACTAACTCTAAGCTGGGACCATTGACTGTCGCCCCTGAAGGACACTCTCTCTGCTTGGAGAGCCATGCTTCAGTGACAGACTAATTCACCCACGCTGTGTGAAGGAGAGGTTTGGACAGGTCCTTTCTTCCTGCTCTGTCAGACAGTACATACGAGAATGTTGCAAACAGGAACTGCTAATCAGTCACTGATGTTCACTATAACTTTGTCACTAGTCATTTAACTGTTATCAGTACTACTGTATATTACAGATCAGATAATCTGCTGTTCACCGTCACTTTACCTGTGATATTTGTTACGATGCTTATTCGCTAATATCATATTCTCCGCTGCTTAAAGGTACAATTTATACATCCTGTAAATACTCCTGAACCAAGGTGCAGTATAGCCAACGATTATTTTATATTTTCTTAATTTTATCTGTCTATTGTCTTAAACAAAAGAACTATTTGATGTGTGTGCAATCTGAGTGCTCTTAAGTCTCTCTTGCTGTAATGGTTGCAACGATGACTGACATTTTTTTCCCACTGTGAGACTAATAAGGTTTATCTTACTCTCAGAGGAGAGAGAGGAGACAGAGGAGAGAGAGCAGGAGAGAGAGGACAGGCGAGAGACCAGAGAGAGAGAGAGAGAGAGAGACAGAGAGAGAGCAGAGAGAGACAGAGAGAGAGACCAGAGTGAGAGACCAGGGAAGAGAGAGCAGCGGAGTGCGCAGAGAGAGAGACCAGAGAGAGACCAGGGAGAAGAGAGCAGAAGAGAGAGAGAGACCAGAGAGAGAGACCAGGAGAGAGACAGAGAGAGAGCCAGAGAAGAGACCAGAGAGAGAGGACCAGAGAGAGAGACCAGAGAGAGAGACCAGTGAGAGTGTGACCACGGCTAGAGAGACACGGGAGCGAGAAGCAGAGGATGAGAGCAGAGAGAGAGCAGAGAGAGAGAGCAGAGAGGGACCAGAGAGAACCAGGAGAGAGAGCAGAGCGAGAGCAGAGAGAGAGACCAGAGAGAGACCAGGGAGGAGAGAGCAGAGAGACGAGACCGAGAGAGAAAACCAGAGAGAGAGCAGAGAGAGACCAGAGAGAGAGACAGAGAGAGAGACAGGTATGTGAGAGCAGAGAGAGAGCAGAGAGGTGAGAGCAGAGAGGAGAGGAGAGCAAGAGAGAGACACAGAGCGAGGACCAGGCCGAGAGAGAGCAGAGAGAGAGCAGAGAGAGAGCAGAGAGAGAGCAGAGAGAGAGAGCATGAGAGAGCCAGAGCGACACACACACACTCTCTCCCTGGTGTTGCGTTTTGGTCAGGAAAAGCACTGTGTGTCACCGGCTGATAGACCCAGTTGTGAGTTCATTTCCATCATAACTGGATCCAAAAACAGCGTCATGTGGTGAGAACAAAACGCTTCCAGACCTTTCCCTCCGAGCAGCAGAACGGGCCCTCTGGTTCTCCCTGGTCCCCTCTCGCTCTCTCTCTCTCTGTCTCTATCCCCCCTCTGTCTTTGTCTCTCTCTCTGGTCTCTCTATGGACTCACTATGGTCTCTCTCTCTGGTCTCTCTCTGGTCTCTCTCTGGACTCTCTCTGGTCTCCTCCCTGGGTCTCTCTCCTGGTCTCTCTCTGCTCTCTCTCTCTCTGCTCTCTCTATGCTTCATCTCTGCTCTCTCTACCTGGTCTCTCTCTCTGGTCTCTCTCTCTGGTCTCTCACTGCTCTCTGCTCTGGTTCTCTCTCTGGTCTCTCTCTCTGCTCTCTCTCCTGGGTCTCTCTTTCTGGTCTCTCTCTTGCTCTCTCTCTGCTCTCTCTCCCTGGTCTCTCTCTTGTCTTCTCTCTGCTCTTCTCTCTGTTCTCTCTCTGCTCTCTCTCTGCCTCTCGTCCCTGGTCTCTCTACCTGTCTCTCTCTCTGCGTCTCTCCTCTGGTCTCTCTCTCTGGTCTCTCTTCTGGTCTCTTCTGCTCTCTCTCTGGTCTCTCTCTCTCGGTCTCTCTCTTGGTCTCTCTCTCTCTGCTCTCTCTCCCTTGTCTCTCTCTGGGTCTTCTCTCTGCTTCCTCTTGCTCTCTCTCCCTGGTCTCTCTCTCTGGTCTCTCTCTCTGGTCTCTCTCTGACTCTCTCTTGGTCTCTCTTCTGCTCTCTCTCTCTGGTCTCTCTCCCTGGTCTCTCTCTCTGCTCTCTCTCTCTGGTCTTCTCTCACTTCTGAGAAAGATAACCTTTATTAGTCTTCCCAGTGGAGAAAATGTCAGTGGTCATCGTTGCACATTACAGCAGAGAGAGGACATAAGGCACTCAGATTTCAACATCGATATCGTCTATTGTTTAAGACAATAGACAATAAAATTACGATAAGAAATAAAATTAAACTTTGGGCTATAACTGCACTTGTTCAGGAGATTTACAGATGTATATATTGTACTTTGCAGCGGAGAATATGAATATAGAGCAGAATAAGCATCGTAAAAATATCACAGGTAAAGAGACGGGTTGAAAGGCAGAATTATCAGATCTGTAATAATACAGTATACTGACTAACAGGAAAAGTGACTAGGACAAAAGTTTTAGTGAACTATCAGTGACTGTTAGCAGTTCTGTTGCACATTCTCGTTGTACAGTCTGACAGCAGCAGGGCAAGAGGACCTGTCAACTCTTCCTTCACACCAGCGAGGGTGAATTGTCTGTCATGAAGCTGCTCTCCAGAGCGATGAGTGTCTGCCAGGGGCGACAGTCATGTCCAGCAATAGATGTTAGTTTGCTCAGGACCTCCTGTCCCCCACTGCTGCACTGTTCCAGGGAACCAAGCCAGGACTGAGCTGGACTTCTGATATAACTTGTTTCCATAGGCTTCTTCCTGTCCCTCTAGTGATGCTGCTGTTCCAGCAGACACACCGTACAAGAGGTCCACACAGAGTCATAGAAGGTCTAAGGAGTGGCCCCTGCACTCCAAAAGACCTGAGCCTCCTCAGCAGGTAGAAGGCGGGCTATGGCCCTCATGAAGAGGGGCGTTGTGTTATGACTCAGTCGTGTTGTGGTTCAGATGAACACCAAGGTACTTGTAAGAGTCCACTCTCTCGATGTCCTTTCCCTGGTGTTCACTGGGCTGGAGCGGCAGAGTGACGTCTGCGGAAAAACACCACCATCTCCTTGGTCTTCCTCACGTTGATGAGGAGGTGGATCATTCTCCTTTGTCTTCCCGCGGTTGCATGAGGAGGTGGTTCATCTCCTTAGTCTTCCCCGCGTGATGGAGAGGTGGTTCATCTCTTGGTCTTCCTCACCGTTGCTGAGGGAGGAGGTTTCTTCTCCTTGCCCTTGTTGATGTGAAGGTGGTTCATCTCCTTTGGTCTTCTGTTGGGTAGGTGGTTCATCTCCTTGGTCTCTGTTGATGAGCGAGGTGTTCTTCTCCTTTGTCATCTGTTGATGAGGAGGTGGTTCTTCTCTTGGTCTTCTGTTGATGAGGAGGTGGTCATCTCCTTGGTCTTCTGTGATGAGGAGGTGGTTCATTCTCTTGGTTCTTCTGTTGATGAGAAGGGGTTCTCTCCTTGGTCTTCTGTTGATGAGGAGGAGGTTCATCTCCTTGGTCTTCTGTTGATGAGGAGGTGGTTCATCTCCTTGGTTTCTGTTGATGAGGAGGTGGTTCCTTCCTTGGTCTTATGTGATGAGGAGGTGGTTTCATCTCTTGGTCTTCTGTTGATGAGGAGGTGGTTCATCTCCTTGGTATTATGTTGATGTGGAGGAGGTTAACCTCCTTGGTCTTCTGTTGTTGAGGGAGGTCGTTCATCTCCTGGGTTTTTCTCGTTCCACAAAGTCCTGTATAAACTCCTCTGTCTCTGTGTCATCGACCTCGGAGCTGAGTCCGATGATGGCAGAGTCTTTGGAGAACTTCTGGAGGACACAACCGACGTGTTGTGTCTGAAGTCCCTGGGGGGGCCCCACATGCAGGTCAAGGGACCTCAGACACAAATTCCTGGTTCTCACAAACTGGGGCTGTCTGTGAGGTAGTCAGGATCCTACTGGGACAGGTAGTAGGTCACAACGGCTGTCTCCAGCTTGTCTCTCTCCGGTCTCTCTTTGGTCTCTCTCTGAGTGTCTATGGTCTCTCTATGGTCTCTATGGTCTCCTCTCTGGTCTCTCTAGTCCATCTCTGTCTCTCTCTGGTCTCTCTCTGGTCTCCTCCCTCCTGGTCTCTCTCTGTCTTTCTTGGTCTCTCTCACTGGTTCTCTCTGGTTCTCTCTGGTCCATCTCTGGTCTCTCTCTGGTCTCTCTCTGGTTCTCTCTCTGGCTCTCTCCTGCGTCTCTCTCTGTGTCTCTCTCCGGTCCTCTCTCTGGTATCTCTCTGGTCTTTCTGGCCTCTCTCTGGGTCCCATCTTGGTCTCTCTCTGGTCTCTCCCTGTCTCTCTCTGGTCTCTCCTGGTCTCTCTCTGTAATCTCTCTGGTCTCTCTCTTGCTCTCTCTCGGTCTCTCTCTGGTATCTCTTGGTCTCTCCTGGTTCTCTCTGGTCTCTCCGGCTCTCTCTATGGGTATCTTCTGGCCTCTCTCTGGTCTCTCTTGGTATCTCTCTGTCTCTCCCTGGGTCTCTCTGTCTCTCTCTGGTCTTCTCTCTGGTCCATCTCTGGTCTCTCTCTGGTCTCTCTCTGGTCTCTTCTGGTCTCTCCCTGGTCTCTCTTGGTCTCTCCTGGTCTCTACTCTGGTAATCTTCGCTGTCTCTCTCTGGCCTCTCTAGGTCTCTCTTGGTATCTCTTCTGGTCTCTCCCTGGGACTCTCTCTGGTTCTCTCCCTGATCTCTCTCTGGTATCTCTCTGGTCTCTCTATGGTTCCTCTCTCTGGTTCTTCTGGTCTCTCTTCGGTATCTCTCTGGTATCTCTCGGTCTCTCCCTGGTCTCTCTCTGGTCTCTCTCTTAGGTCTCTCCCTGGCTTCTCTGGTCTCTCTCTGGTATCTCTGGTCTCTGTCTGGTCTCTCTGTCTGGTCTTCTATGGTTTCTCCCTGGCTCCCTCCCCTTGGACTCTCTATGAGTCTCTTCCTGGTTCCTCTATGGTCTCTCCCTGGTCTCTCTCTTGGGTCTCTCCCTGGTCTCTCTATGGTATCTCTCTGGTCTCTCTCTGGTCTCTCTCTGGCCTCTCTCTGGGTATCTCTCTGTCTTCCCTGGTCTCTCTCTGGTCTCTCCCTGATCTCTCTCGGTATCTCTCTGGTCTCTCTCTGGTCTCTCTTGTTCTCTCTGGTCTCTCTTGGATCTCTCTGGTCTTCTCCAATGGTCTCTCTCTGGTCTCTATGGTCTCTCTGGTCTCTCTCTGGTCTCTTGGTTCTCTCTGGTCTCTCTCTGCGTCTCTCTCTGTTCTCTCTGTCTCTTCTCTGGTATCTCCCTGGTCTCTCCCTGGTCTCTCTTCTGTCTCCTCCTGGTCTCTCTGGTCTCTTCTCTGGTCTCTCTCTGGTTCTCCCTGGTCTCTCCCTGGTCTCTCTCTGGTCTCTCCCTGGTCTCTCTCTGGTCTCTCTCTGGTCTCTTCGGGTCTCTCTCTGGTCTCTCCCTGGTCTCTCTCTGGTCTCTCTGGTCTCTCTCTGGATCTTCTCCCTGGTCTCTCTCTGGCCTTCTCTGGTCTCTCCCTGGTCTTCTCTCTGGTCTCTCTCTTGTCTCTCTCTGGTCGCTCCCTGGTCTACTCGGTCTCTCTCTGGTCTCTCTCTGGTCTTCTCCCTGTCTCTCTTGGTCTCTCTCTCTGGTATTTCTATGTCCTCCTGGTCTCTCTCTGGTCTCTCTCAGGACTCTCCCTGGTCTCTCTTGGTCTTTCTCTGGACTCTCCCTGGTCTCTCTCAGGTCTCTCTCTGTCTATCCCTGGGTCTCTCCCTGGTCTCTCTCCTGGTCTCTCCGTCTCTCTCTGGTCTCTCTGCTGGTTCTGTCTGGTCTCTCCTGGTCTCTCTCTGGTCTCTCTCTGGCCTCTCTTGGTCTCTCTCTGGTTGGTGGAGGAGGCGGTTGATGCACGAATGAAGCTTCCTTCTTGTTAATTATCAGGCTTGATGGAAGGGTGAGGATTGACAGATCTGTTGCGGCAGGACTCTCCTGGACTCGAATGGACTGGACTGGGACTCAAATGGACTTGTATGACTCGGAATGGGACTGGACTGGACAGGAGCTGGACTTGATGGATAGAATGGACGGGACTGGACCTAGGGTGGACTAGGACTGGACTCAGACTAAATATACCTTGATACAAAAGAAAAGCCTGGTACACAGATACCACCTCAGAGATTGGACAGTCTCAGACACAGAGAAGTCGCTTACCATGGTCTCAGAGTTGGAACGTTCAGACTCAGAGAAGTCGCTTCATGGTCTCAGAGTTGACAGTCTCAGACTCAGAGAAGTCGCTTCATGGTCTCAGAGTTGAAAGTCTCAGACTCAGAGAAGTCGCTTCATGGTCTCAGAGTTGGAACAGTCTCAGCCTCTGAGAAGTCGCTTCCTGGTCTCAGAGTTAGAACAGTGTCAGATCAGTGAAGTCGCTTCATGGTGTCAGGAGTTGGAAACAGTCTCAGACTCAGAGAAGTCGCTTCATGGCTCAGAGTTGGAACAGTCTCAGACTCAGAGAAGTCGCTTCATGGTCTCAGAGTTGGAACAGTCTCAGACTCAGAGAAGTCGCTGCATGGTCTCAGAGTTGAAACAGTTCAGACTCAGAGAAGTCGCTTCATGGTCTCAAGAGTTAGAACAGTGTCAGACTCAGAGAAGTCGCTTCATGGCTCAGAGTTGGAAAACAGTCTCAGATCAGAGAGGTCGCTTCTGGTCTCAGAGTTGGAACGTCTTCAGACTCAGAGAAGTCGCTTCATGGTCTCAGAGTTAGAACAGTGTCACGACTCAGAAAGTCGCTTCATGTCTCAGAGTTAGACAGTCTCCAGACTCAGAGAAGTGCTTATGGTTCAATTTAGAACTGTCTCAGACTCAGAGAAGTCGCTTCATGGTCTCAGAGTTAGACACAGTGTCAAGACTCAGAAAGAAGTCGCTTCATGGTTATCTGAGTTGGAAAAAAGTCTCTGACTCAGAGAAGTCGCTTCATGGTTCAGAGTTAGAACAGTCTCAGACTCAGAGTAGTCGCTTAATGGTCTCAGAGTTGGAACAGGTCTCTCAGACTCAGAGAAGCTCGTTTCATGGTCTCAGAGTAGAACAGTGTCAGACTCAGAGAAGTCGCTTCATGGTTCTCAGGAGTTAGATCAGTCTCAGACTCAGAGAAGTCGCTTCATGGTCTCAGCGTTGGAAACAGTCTCAGAATAGAGAAGTCGCTTCATGTCTCAGAGTTAGAACAGTCTCAGACTCAGAGGAAAGTCGCTTCATGGTCTCAGAGTTAGAACAGTTCTCAGACACAGAAAAGTCGCTTCATGGTCTCAGAGTTGGAACAGTCTCAGACTAGGAGGAAGTCGCTTCATGGTCTCAGAGTTGAACAGTCTCAGATCAGAGAAGTCGGCTTCATGGTCTCAGAGTTGGAAACAGTCTCAGACTCAGAGAAGTCGCTTCTTGTTCTCAGGTTAGAAACAGTCTCAGACTCAGAGAAGTCGCTTCATGGTCTCAGTGTTTGGAACAGTCTCAGACTGCAGAGAAAAAGTCGCTCATGGTCTCAGAGATGGAACAGCTCAGACTCAGAGAAGTTCGCTTCATGGTATCAGAGTCTAGACAGTCTCAGACTTCAGAGAAGTCGCTTCATGGTCTCAGAGTTGGAACAGTCTCCAGACTCACAGTGGAATCCTGAACTTGTTACTCACAAATGTTATTTATTGAAATATGTGGAAAATCACTTGTCTCATGAACATGCAGGTGGGACTGGACTGGCTGGACTGGACTGGAATAGACTGGGCGGGACTTGGCTGGCAGGACTGGACTGCGCTGGGCTGGGAGGACTGAACTGGGCTGGACTGGATGGGCTGGGCTGGACTTGGCCTACACACACAAAAACACATGCTCAGTATGAATGTGTGTGTGGATGCGATTGTGTTGTATTGACTCTGTTAGAACCGGGCCGTAGCCATAACTAAAAAGTAGCCATGGAGCGGGTGAGGCGAGTTGGTGAGAACACCATCAACCCGGACCCAGGAGAGTCCGTGTCTCTCTCTGGTTGTTTATGTTTCTAGTTCTTTGTGATATTAATGTTTCTTTTTTGGTTTTGAGTTGTCTTCTGTATGAACTGTGCTACACTATTAAACTTGCTCAGCCCTTTGCTCCGACACTGAGAGAGGGTCAGAGACAGGGACCTAGACTCTAGACCTCTCTCTCGGTCTCTCTCTGGTCTCTCCTGGTCTTTCATGGACTCTCTTGGTCTCTCTCTGGTCTCTCCTGGTCTTTCCCTGAGTCTCTCTCTGGTCTCTCTCTGGTCTCTCTCTGGTCTCTCCTGGGTCTTTCCCTGGTCCTCTCTGGTCTCTCTCTGGTCTCGCTCTGGTCATCCTGGTCTTTCCCTGGTCTCTCTCTGGTATCTCTCTGGTCTCTCTCTGGTCTCTCCCTGGTCTTTCCCTAGTCTCTTTTGGTCTCACTCTGGTT